TTTAATTGTGTTATCAAATAGACCGTTTCTATGTATGTTTGCGTTTGTTTGTGTAGCAGATCAGTGTTTCTGTTGTTCCGCTATTTTCCTCTTATAGCTGATGTGTTTCCCGCGGTCTTGGATTGTGGCCCGGATTTGTTTCAGTTAATTGATTTACGACTATCGAACAGCAGTGTACTACTGTTGTCTTTATTTACAGTGTCTTACGGAAACATTTATGATTAAGATGTGCTTCTACGTTGTTTGTTTTAGATGTTGTAGAGCAAAGCCTATTCTTATTTATTTCTCTCTGAATGATATGCATTTCAAATTCAATCGTCAATGGGTAATGGAACGTGAATAGCAGAAAGAAACCTTATTCACTAGTTTCACTGGACCATTGAATTTATTTAGGAAGACATGCAATAGGATACCTCATTTATTGTTGTAGTTATTGTCTACGTCAATGTAAAGTCTGAAAGCAAAATCATCCCAACGATCGAGCATCATTGTGTTGATGTTGTTTGATTGAGACATATATTCATCTGAGTCCCAATGAGAAAAAGCCTAACCATAAAGTCAGCTATATAAGGCCCCGACAAAGCAAAATAATTCATAAAACGAAAAACCATAACAAGTATTAAGTCATACGTCGACTAGAAACTGACATGCACATGACAAAAAAAAACGGACGAAACGACAAACAAGTCCACAAAACACTATATAGAAAAAAAAGGTAACCTTGAAAACAAAACCAAAAACAACACCAGGAGTGATACCTTGTGTACCAAAAGAGAAATCAGATCATGTTCTACATACAAAGAGCTAGTTTGAATTAAAATAAGAAGATGTGGAAAAATTGCCAAAGATACAACTATTTAACAATGAACAATGTCCACATGACTTTGAATAAGAACATATAGGTCTATGTACGGCATTCAACCATGAGTTAAACTTATACTATTACGTTATCCGAAAAAATACCCCGACATGAAAAACAACGAAACAGTTCAAAAAAAAAAACGCAACCTCAATTACAACTAGTAAATACATTATGATAATATACTCTCAGACAACATTATTACGTAGAATACATCCAATGAATTGTTTCTTTTGTCGTTTATGTTGAAGGGTTCCAACAGTTTTACGCAGACTGTTATGTTGTTTGCTCTTTTGTCGTGTTTGTACTATGGTGATAACAGTTTTGTTCATGGTAATTTTTTTCTGATTTAACCTTTAGTATCTTCTCTTTCGTTTTACATGAATCAACAAGCTGAAGCTTATTTAAACACACACATATAACATAGAAGCTATAGTGTACTTGTTCTCGTTCAGTTAGATAACATTACACGAATTACGTTAAACAAACCGTATAATATCGATTCCAAATTGAAAAACACATATTCACCATAATCATTTATTTCAAAGTAATCAAAATGAACGAACGTAAAAAAGAAGGTACCGATTTGCAATTTGTTACTAATTGAAAATGAAATATCTTCCAACATTTGACCAACCGGTGTAGCCTGAGGAGCAACATTTGGTTACAATATAATTCAGTCCCTTTTCGTAATCGATCTCTCCTACGTGCGAGGGCCTGAATTCCGAACACTAAAACCTAAAAACTCTTCACGGATCCTGGATTTTGGTTAGTGCCTTGAAGGAGAGGTGACCAATCAACAGTCAGTTAATTTTCATCGACATAGGTTAATACCGAGCTAATTTTGATTAAAACTCTATGCATTCAGGTGTCAATGAAGTAATCATAGATCAACGGAGTATAACGACTAAATTATTCGGGTTAACGTAAACATGAAATATAAGATATTTCTTAAACTCGGGTATTGGCCTTATAAAGGCTTTTGTAGATAGATGTATGAAATAATTGGAACACGTTGTAAAACGTATTGATTTTTACAGATTTTGAATATTGATTAATGCTTGAATTCAGAACTTCAAAACTACCTATTAATGAATTTATAATCATGTTTCAATATTTTTATAGATTAATTTATTTGATAAAACTATAGTACAATCATTGACATTTAACTAATACTTTTAACATTTTGATTGTTCTTCAGTTCTATTGTTTTTTAGTTCCATTAATTCCAGTAGTTTTGTCGTGCAGAGCTTCTGTAGGTGTTGGTAGTGTTCTGTCACTTGCATTAACTGTTCTATGTGGTGTTCTTAAAAATCTATACAAAGATGGTTATGTGTTCTATATTGCCAACATTTCCAAGATTTGTTTTTTGTTGCCCTGACTTATTGGCATTTTTATTGTTACCCCTTATGTCTGTTTTCAAAAGTTTTTAAAATAGGGGATTTTTATGGAGTTTTTTATTTTGCAAGTTCCTTTCTTTAGGTTAACTTAAGCTTACAATAATGTATACAAGGGAATTTTTGTCATATTCTAGCTAATTTTTAACAGATATTTACACACCCCGGCCTTCGAAATCTGTACGTTTGAGCATTCCATATGAGCTAAAATTAAATAAAACGTTTGTCTTTTCGAGCGACAAGCATGAATTATTATCGTTATCTAATTGAAAAAAATGGATGTAATATATAATTTTTTATTGCCACTGGCAAAAGATGGATCTTTTATTGTGATGACAATAATGTTGCTTTTCAGTAGATCAATTCAACATTTGGATAATGTTAAAATATTTTAAGAGCACATTAATATTTCCGATGAATGGACAAGGTCTCTAGTATTTCTCGATTCAGCCGCAAAATTGTTTTTTTTTTCTTTTTGCTAGACAATTACATCCTGGTAGTCTCAACCGCAATACAAACCTGGAATCAAATTAACACAGATATATTGTTATCCTAACCTTTATATTTCATAAACTTCAGTCAGAGTTTGATAATGTGTGTCTTAGTTGGTCTCTTTCCTAAAAGTGTCGGTTAATAAATTTTGAATTTCCAAGAAAGTAAGGTTTTCAAGTTGACCTTAGATAAATTTGGCTATTTTCTTAGATCCTTTTTTGGTAATATAGCTCTTCAACTGTTTCGGTTCTTATACATCTACATCGTTTGCTTCACATTTTCGGCTTTGGATGTTCCTGATGAATGTTAATCCAAAAAAAAGCGCTTCAGAAGTATGAAATTTATAATGTGTTGTTTTCATTTGTTATCTCTGTTTTCTTCCATTAAGGCGTTCACATATCTCTGTGAACAACAGTATGGTTGCTATCAAATCATAAGAAAACCATGGGTTGGTCGGTGTGGCTTTTTTTCTTCTCTTTATTGTTATTTTCTCAGGATTTTTTTATTTGTTTGTCATAAATTAAAAAAAAAAATAATGAGATACAAATAAAGTAGTTGAATTGCAGCCTCATCACTCCCATTTCTATTAATTCGTTTGAAATAATAGCTTGATTAGAATAGCACGACTTAGAATTAGGTATATCAATAAACAATATACGCTTACTTAATATTTATTACTAAATTTAATTTGTACCACCTTTAAACACATTTCAATTTAAAAATAATTATGTATCATTTCAACCGCGACCAAATCATAAAGGCATTATTAGAAGTGACCTTTAAAGCAATATGTGATCTACCTTATGTACATACCCATGAAATACAAGATAAGTTGGGTAAAATCAGGTATTGACATTTAAATTTTTACACAGTAGGTATAGTATCCGGCTGTGATCGTGTTTTTTTTTCGAGTGTAACCACGTTTTTTTTTAGAGTGATAATGATCAAACATGTAAACAAACTTCTTAGAATACTTTCATTTTTATATATCTGTGTTTTTCCGAAAGCAGTCTGTTTTTTTTTTTTTTAGTATGGTCGAAGTTTTGCTCGAGTGAATCGACAAACACAATCAATAGCTTAATATGTTATATGTTAATGAATTTAACAGTAAATGCTTCAAATGACGGGGACTCTTTCTATATAAAAGTATACACAGACGAGCCGCTGGTATGGGTCACTTTTTGGAATGTCCCATATATCAATGGGTCAAAAATTTTCATCTTCTGTTAAGAGGGTTTTAAGAACTATGTTCTGATCCTTTTTTTCTAATAATATGGACAATCGTATGTTACATGTGAAAAGGGTGTGATTTTCATTTTTTTTTTTGGGGGGGGGGGGGGGGGGGCTGTCTAGGCCTGTCTTAGTGGAATATTTGTGGTATAGTGGTATATTGTGGTATATTGCATTTTAACTGATTTATCACTTCTGTCCCTTAGTTTTCTTTTCCCTACTTTTTAAAATTCCAAGTATATATAAATTATTTACAATATTTCAAATATATCATGAAATAACATTGAAAAGGTTATGAGTTCCCACTTCTCGGTTTTAAAGACAGTTTTACAAAGAATCCAGTAATTTTTAATATATCTTAATACTGCAAAGTAACTGTAAAACGTTTTCAGATTAGAAAATTATCATTAAATTGAAAAGGTTTACGTTTAGTTAACATGTTATATGTTTTGGGACCTTTTGGGATTATATGATATTTTCCTTTGCTAAGTTACAGTTACAAACTAGAAATAGTCAGTATTTAGTCCAATGATGTCTGATTAAAAGCTCGGACGTTTTAAATAATGATCTCGAAAATAAACCAATTTAAAACACCAAATTCTAAGTGAATTTAAAGGAAACGTTGCTTCGTATGAGCTCAAAACACGAATAGTTATCAGAATAAGATGAACAGTCATGAATGAAACTGCTATACACGTGAAATAGTAGTAAATGGATCTGATCGAATGTACTATCACTCGGAAAAAGTGGACCGAATCACTCGAAAAAAAACACGATCTCAGTCGAACACTATACCTACCGTGGTTTATGATAGATAAATGCATCACGTAAAACTAATCACGTTATCTTATTTATTTTTGCATATGTTTGCATATTTATTCTAGTTTAATTCAGAACTTTAAAACTATTTCAATCGTGTGCATACGATAAGATGAAATTGGATGGATGAAAATTTCCCGGAACGTCATACACTCACCTTTCGAATATCGTTCAGTTATTAGAAATATATGTGTCAAGGTAACTTTATGGAAAACTTCCGATAATGGCTCAATCCGCTTGGAAGTCATGCGACATCTGCCTGAGTGGACCAGGGCAACAATATTGTGAACAATGTGATCAGTGGCTGTGTGATAATTGTAAAACTTTACATTTACGGTCAAAAATCAGTAGAAATCATACTTTTCAAAGTGAACCAAATATAAACCAGGAAGACAAATTATTTTGTAATGATCATGACGAAAATTTCATATTTTACTGCAATGATTGTGATATACCAATATGCAAATTATGCAGCGTAAAAATACACAAAAAACATGATATGTCTGAAATCAACGAATCGACAGCGGGATTACAGGCTACAGTAAAAACGAAAATTGAATCGGAGATTAAAGTTGTCAAAACAAATCTAGATCAAATTGAACAGGGAATTAAACGATACCAGATCGATGTTAAGGATGCAGTTCGTGTCATTACAGAAGAAGGAAAGCAGGTGAAGGAGTGGATTGACGAGAAAATACAAGACCTATTATCATCATTGGAACTCAAAGAGGGAGCAATCATTCGGTCATTACAATTTATTAGAACTGGGTTTAAACATGATATTGAAAAGTTAAAGAAATGTCAGAATGCCTTTACCGACAGCAAGAAAATAACTGATGTTACTAAACTTCGTAAACAGCTAAAACAAATAAAGTCCGATTTAGATGACGCAAAAGAAAAACAGCCACCGGAAATGCCAACAGTGACATATTTCAAATAGAATATATCAGAAGGAAAAACACATACTTTATTTGGGGACTTTTCATTCCTGTAAGTTATTCACCTTAGAAAACTGTAATTACTTTGTTTGAACCCTTTACGTATTTATCGCGATTTATGCAACTTTTTTTATATATTTTCCCTTTTGTGCCCTCTTACTGTTGTTAATGTTACATTCTCCCTTAATCTATAAATTAGTAGTCCTTCATATGTTTTGCTAACAAAGATCTGTCACCACTCAGTTCTACTGGTTTTTCTGTTCTTGTAATTATTACTTCAGCAAATCAAAGTTCAGCCTTCAAATGTATTATGTGAAAGTTTGGCCTTCAAATTACTAAAAATGTGTTTCATTACCACCAAACCTAAGGCTTACGAAATATTTAAATATCAGAAAGCAAAATGGAATCTTGTCAGAAGATCATTGCAAGCAAAGCTGTGACACAGAAAATGTATTTCATCAGATTAGACGCTTTCTTTAATCTTGCATTCTTCTCATTTGTATTTAAATTGTTCGAACTGTATGCATAATTAATAAACAAAATAAATACATAAGAGTGTCCGATTCGAAGTATTCATGCAAGTAATAATTTTGAATTGTATGTTATTCATGAATTAATTATGTACATTTTGACCAAACAAATATATCATACATACTGCTGGGGAAGGTAGATAAAATAAAAGTACAAAAATTGAATAGTTTTATTGCATATCCATATAAGTACATCAATCGTATTTGAACTTGATTCTTCAGTTAGCCTAACTGATTAGATGTTTCCTTGTTTTCATAAAAAAATGATGACTATCAGTTTAATAACATTAAAATGTCAAAATAAGCATACAAAAAATAATGTGTAAACACATGTTAGACTGATTACTGTCTTTCAAAAATAATATAATTGGCTAGGTATTCGTTTAAAGTTATACAGTAGCAACTGCCGAAAATATATTTTAAAATCCATTTTTATTTCTTAATTTATTCTCAAATTACAAACATGAAATTCTATAAGGAGATAAAGAAGACATCTTCGTGCAATTTGATTTATTTTAAAAGTGTATAGTTTGAAATTATCTTAAATAAATCTATTTTTATTAGTTTTTTAAATTAAGAATGTCGGACGTTACAATGTCTGTACACATTTGTCTCTCTAAGAATGCAAGATTTTCAAGCAGTAAGTTGAGTCTAAACTTATTATAACCAAAATTTGATACAAATCGGAATTAAAAAATGTTTAGATAAATGAATACACATGCTACATCAATCTTTGAAAACCCTGCAGATAAAGCCCCCACAATATCGTTTTGTGTATATATTCCATTACATAAACTGCTTGATAAAGGAATTTGGTATTTACAATTCACTTGCATACTCAATATATACCCCAACGGCGCTTACCAGTATTTGATACCTAAATTACATAAGTGTCCTTCCAAACAACGTTATATTGCTTGGTCTTCCAAGTGCTCCACGAAACATGTTTCTGAATTAGTAACATCAATATTATCATCAATCAAAGTCGGGATTCACAGTTATTGTGAAACTACCTATTCTAGAGTTGACGTGAATGAGATGTGGATACTAACAAATTCCAAAGGTTTGTTAGAGAAAATACATTCAAAGGCTGTTTAACTTGTCATAATATTAAAACATTTGAATGTTCTACATTTTACACAAGTATTCTCAAGTCCAAACAAAAAGAAAAATTGAAAGAGTGGGTTCTGCTTTGTGTCAGAAAAAAAGAATAGGCCACCTTAATGCAAGTATCTAGTCTGATAGAGGAATAAATCGTACATTTAAAAAAAATCTTTCTGATTCAAACAAAAAATGTTTTGAAAATGACATTATCAACATTGATTTCTTGATTGACAACACATTTGTTACGTTTGGAGGTCGTGTTTTTCATTAAACAATCGACATTACAATGGAAAAAAAACTGTGTTCCTCATCCTACTTACTTGTTCCTTTATTCAAATGAGACTGAAATCATGCAGGAGCTTCTCTAGAAGAATGTAATGAAGCTAGAATTATCCTTTTACTTCACTTTCAGTTACATAGGTGATGTCCTCGCACTAAACATGTCAAATGTTGGTAGCTTTGTTGCACGCATCTATCTCACCGGTCTTGAAATAATGGATGCACCCAATACATTTAAGTGTGCTCCATATTTTGACACACATCTAGGAATTGACGATAAGCGTAAAAAATAAAAAAAATTTACGACACAAGAGATAGTTTCAGCTTCCCAATTGTAAATTTCTATTAACCAACATTCAAACTTCGCCTGCGTATAAAGTATATATCTCTCAGTTGATAAGATATACCAGGACTTCCATTTCCTATCATGATTTCCTTGATAGAGTGTTGCTGCTCACAATGCAGATGTAAAACAAAGAGTTCAACGTGGTGAAGTGAAATTGTAATCATCACTTTTACATCTTACAGACGCCATCACGAGTTGGTTAACCGTTGTGTTACATCTGTTTCACAGATGACGACGGATATGTAACGATCGTCATAACCACAATCCCTGTCCCCTGTCCCCCCGATTTGACCTACCGAATCAAACTTATCGCCGGGTTTGTACTGACATGAGTAACACGACGGTTGCCACATGGGGACCAGGTTCTGCTTACTCTATCTGAGCACCTGTGATCACCATCGGTTTTTGATATGGTTCTTATTGCTCAGTCTTTAGTTTTCTATGTTGTTTTTTGTATACGGCTGTTTATCTTTTGGTCTTTTGTGGGTTTTTTTCCTGCCATGGCCTTGTCAGTTTATTTTCGGTTTTAGCTTGAATGCCCTTTTGGTAACTTTCGCCTCTCCTTTATAAGTATTTAGGATAATTTTTTACTGTAATTTTTCATACAAATCAATTAATATTGACCACTCATTTTTTCTGATCGTAAATATTTGACGATCTGACTTTTCAATTGATGCATCCAACAGTTGACATTTTGTTCCCTTGATTATGACTCTGTGTTGAAATATTGTGGCAAATGGCTCCTATTCTAATCTAATCTACAGTGTATCATGTTGATATGCCATAACTGAACTTGTGTTAGTCAGATATTTTTTTTTAATTCTTTTGTTCAACAAAAATACTGTGTGTGTCCGAAATTTGTCCATGTTCGAATGACATACATTTATGTCCTTTGTTTGTCCGACATAATTTTTGTCCAACAGTTTGTCCGCTTGATATGTTTTATAATTTTAATTTGAATCTTTTTGAATTCCCCTTTCATTTTGATTACTTGGAAAACTAGTAAAGCTAGTCTGGAAAAAAAAAAGTAAATGATGCTCCGACAACTTGTCCTATAGTATGTCTGCTCGTCCGACTTTTAAAATCGATTTCTTCAATGTCAATCGTTTCTTAATATTTTAAGTCCTTGTACTGGAGTGTCTGGTATTATACAGTGAACGTTGCTTAAATTTAAGAACATACTTTAGATTATGACATTAAGAGCACCACAACTTGCTATTTTTTCTATGCCAATTTTCATCCGACGCAATATAGACATCAACATCTATGTTTTGAATAATATAATCTTTTATTGGGCAAAAATAAGACCAATGTTTCCGTTTTAATAATTGTGATTAGATAAGTCATTGGGCTTTATACAGAGGGACACGGACGCCACTCCGCGGCCACTTTTTTTGGCCTTTTCAATATCATGTTTCAAGCAGCGCGTCTCGCATACATTTTTTTAAACCTGGTATTTATGATGAGTTTATTTTCGGCCGACATATTACATTTTCTTCATTTTCTGTTCTTTTCAAACGTTATGAAATTCAATACTAAGTTTTCTAAAATAAATTCAGAGTTGAAATTGATAAATCCATGTTTGTATCACTTTAAATCAGCCGAAAAAGAATAATATGCAAATTTCATTATCCAAGTTTGTCCTTCATAACACTTGACAGATTCTCATTTTGAGAAAAACGGGACTTTACCCTATCTCGTAAAATTGAAAATTAGCCTACTTCAATAAGATTCCTACCTTAAAATCCAGTAATAAAGCAAAATTGTTTGACTTGTGTTCTAGGTCAAATGTTACATATTGGTTTTTGGCAATGTCCTTAACTAATACTTGGCCGTTTGTATTTCTTTATTTATAGTGATTTTGGAAATTGTTTACCTATTTAATACATTACACATGAACCATACTACACATGCTACGATGATAATAGTCTATTTGCAAAACACAAATTACAACTGCTAATTGGGGAGACACCATAAATACATAGATAATGTGAAAATGAAATTCTTAAAGTGTAATCTTTAAAAAAAATGACAGCTTTATGCTATAGCAACCAATTTGTCGATACCTCTGTTGGTGGACTTTTTGTTCTAGAGCGTACAAAAAGACCAGTAGTCAGAACTTCGTTTCTGGCATGAAAATACGGATATTATCTTTATTGATATTTGCGGAAATAATATTTTGAGCATTATTTCTAGTTCAAGAATTGTCTCAATTGTGCTTTGCTCGAAATCCGTGGTCAGGTTTGGCTTTTATTTGTTGGTCCTTTTTTGGTTTTATCAACTCTTTAACGTTTGAATTATGTTTCGTTTTTGTTTCCTCTAGCATCACCGTTTATCAGTAAAGAAACATTAAATGTTGAAATGCGCATTTGGTGCATTAAAATTGGTACTGTTCATATTATTATAATTATACACTAACAAGTCCATTTTCTGGTAAAAAGGTCAGATAACACTGTGAACTTTATACCAAAATTGAAACTAACCATAAACTATCATTACTATGTTCTTCCTTTATTTTAGTCAGATTGAAATGAGAATGAAAAAAATAGTTTTAGCTAGTTTGCGAATATCATATCATTATCTAAAACACAAAGTAGGAACATGATTCGTAGGTTTTTGTTATTTGTTTAGTTTTTGATCTTTCATTTAGTCAATTTTCAATCACTCCACACAATACGTAATTAATAAATTGTAATAAGTGTTCAATGTGAGTTAGGTAAGTGGGTGGACAAATTGACAGTTGAACTACATCATAATATTCAATCTTTACTACAAAATTTAAATAAAAAAACAGTTGGGTGTGATCGTTTTAACAAATAAATACTCTAAAACTGCCTCATCTACTGAACTTTTTTTCAAATATGTGAAAACATTTCATATCAATCTTTTTTGACAAACCTTTAGAAAAATGCATACGCAGTGCAAAGACCAAACACATGCACACAGGACACTTTCGTCAAGCAAACACAATATTTGCTTTTTAAGGATATGTTAAGCGTTTCAGAAAAAAGTACACCTTTTTAAGTAAAATTATGGGAAGAAATCTATATTTATTTTAGTGTGAGTGAATAATTGTATATAAACGACAATATATGTTTGCCTTTCATTGTTTTATAGGGATGTAATTTACCGAAGAGGGAATACTGAACCAAAAAGCAAAATGGGGAAGACTCACACAACAAAGAATACCAGGTTTTTTTATGCTTACATTAATCCGTATGAACTTCAAAATATGTATTGAGAATAACATAAAAAACGAATCCCGTTCAACTTTTCTGTCGACAGTTACATATCGTGTTGACCTCTACCATTATCCTACGTCAAATTGATGAATGCTGCTGGTTAGGGGAAAAATGTACACAATAGAGTAAATAAAGGCACAGAAGTGTACCACTGTTCAAAAGTCATACATCTACTGAACCTGAAAAAAAATTAAGAATAGAAATAGGAGATGTGTCAAAAGAGAACAACCCATCCAAAGAGCTGAAAACAACCCAAGGCCACCAAATGATCTTCAACACAGTGAGAAAATCCAGCATCCGGAGGCGGGCTTCAACTGGGTCATAGACACAAATATGTACTAGTTCGGTGAAAATAGACGTCACACTAAACTCCGAAACATATTAATGAACGAAAATAGAAAAAAATCCTACAAGACTAACAAAGGCTAGAGGCATCTGACTTGGGACAATCGCAAAAAATGCGGCGGGATTTTACAAGTTTAGTGAGATCTCAAGCCTCCCCCTATACCTCTAGACAATGGAGATATAAAATAGATTAAACATGTTACATTAAGACTAAACAGTCAAGGAGAAAAAAGTAGATTTCGTAAAAGTCATGTTAAATAACGTTTTCGGGTTTGTTTGTTTTTTAAATGTTTTTTTTTAACTTATAACTGAAACTAGATTATTTCATCTTTGAGCAAAGCTCAGGCAGAAACCTTTTTCCTTAAAACTGCTTCGTTTCAAATTAAAGTGCGTACACATGCCATGCCAGAGACACATTGAACTCTCAATAAAATTGAATAAAGATTTGAATTGCTGCAATTTTTTTTAACTTTGTTGTAATCTTATGCACTACTTTTGAAGTGTTTATTACAAACGTAAATTATCAAAAAAGTACACTAAATAATAAGAATACTTGAGCTAAAGATAATATGCGAATTGATGAAACGTGGAACAGAAATTTACCTGTTTGAATCACGCATAACAATATCTCTGTGTGCAGAGCACATGTTCCTAGATATATTTGTGAACTCTAATGGTCTACTTCCGTTTGTGATACATTGTAATATGAATAATAGTACTATAGTTGACGATTTGTTGCCGTCGATAGTAAGTTTACCATTCTCAAAACCAGTTTGACCAGCAACTCGTAGAACATTAGAGCTTAGAAAAATGTTAAAAAAAAAAGATAAATTATAAATTATGTAATATCCTGTTTGAATACGCACTAAATTAACACTACACATAGTTTAATTTGTATATGCATTTTTCTTACAGGTTGAGTGTATCTTTATGGTTTTTATTTCGTGTCCCTTCATATACATGTACTACTGTTTGTCACAATTTAAAGTTCAAAAATTGGTTTCATAATTTCGATAACATTATAATTGCAAAAAAACTCGTTTCAAAACGAGTTTTTTTGCAATTATATTGTTATCGAAATTATGAAACCAATTTTATACTAAACTAGGTACTATGTACGGTTTTAACATTTATTACGAACTTATAACGTATTATCGAAAAAAAAATATTTTATTCGGTGATTGTTGATCAGCAGATGATTAACTTTCGAGTGTCTTGCCAATGTTTACAGAATCATGAATCGTGAAGTGTGAACAATCTATTAAGAACACGTTGAGTACCGGAAAAATAAAAGCGAATTGATTTCTTTATCTTTTCCATGCGTTCCCATTTCTAAATCTAACTAGTCCTTATAGTTTTTAAAATACTTTGTGTAATTCATTTGTTTTTTAGGTATAAGTTTTTACTATTTACCTTCAAATGTTAAATTCTTCGATCACGGATTCCCTCCTCGCACTGTCGGGAGAATACCGGCGAATTAGATTGGGGAAGATATTAGTTTAACAGCGGTATATTTATGAACATTTTGATAATATGAAGGATTTTCTTCTATCAGAAAGTAAACGTACACTTATTTTAAAGTATAACTTAGCAATTCAAGTATATAACATATATTCAACGTTGTGTTTTTTTTCTTTATTTGAATAATTTTAATTTCATATGACTGCGATAGTTTTTCTTCTCCTGTAATTTTTATATAGAATGAAAATACTTAATAATAATGAGAATATATATTTTCAAACTATTTTATGTCATTTTTAAGTAACAACAAACAAAAGAACTATGTCAATTGGACTGCTTTGATACGATAACTGCACTTGAATTTGTACTAGAAAACATTTTTGTTCGCTATGGAGATTCCATATATCGGTTATTGGAATTCCTATGTGAAATAACTGTTCAAAACTTATTTCGGACCTGTTTCTGTATTGTTATGAGACAATTTATGACTAAAATAAGCAAATACCCATTGAAATGACATCTGATACAAAAAAAATAATAACACTTTTAAATATTTGGATGATATTATGGCTATCAAAAATGACGACTTACGTTTGTAAACTAAAGAGATTTATACTGCTGAATTGACATTGGATAAAGCTAATACTAACAATGAACACACCCCTTTCCTGTCGATATCTATATCGGGAAGCTCAATATCAATACTTACGATGAAAGGGATGACTTTTCATTTCTTATTGCAAGTTTTCTGTTTTAAGGCGGTGGCGTTCCCTTGTCACCATCGTTTGGTGTTTATATATCTCACCTTGTTCGATTCGCTCGTGTATGTAACAACATTTTTTTTATGTTAACGGAAGAAATCTATGTATTAATGAAATATTACACCAGGGTTTTCAATATCACAAACTAGTCAAGATATGTTTTAAATTTTATCATCGGTACAAGGACTTCATTTGCAAATATAAATCAACATGCAGACATTTGATATATTCATGTATTTTACATTCACTCGTTTATGATAAAATTCTATACAAAGCAGAAAAAAATTTCGTCATTCACATCAAAAAATTACCAAACAGAATTATTAAATAGGGATAGAGTCACGATACTGTGTCAGGTCGCATACAATATTGATTCACTCATACAGTCTTTGCATTGGCAATTAACAATTTTATTCTACAACCAGTTGTTGGCATGATACTGGTTATGTTCTTCTCATATATTTTATGACGGTAGGATACTAAACTGCCAAAGTGAGGAATTGTGCTTGATTTTCATATGATGAAGACATAATCTTTCAATCAGTTTAATTGATGCCTTGCGCTGGCATGTCAGTAACTGCAAGTAGTCCTTTGTTAATTTATGTATCATTGTCATTTCGATTAGTTTCTTCAGATACCTATTCTGACATCGGACTCGAAATTTGTTTCAAATAAGTTTTACTGTGCGTATTGCAGTGTGTTTGTGTATTTTACATTGGCTAGAGGTATAGGGGGAGGCTTGAGATTTCACTAAACTTGTAAAATTTCGCCTCATCTGTTGCGCCTGTCCCAAGTCAGATGCCTCTAGCCTTTGTTAGTCTGTATGTATTTTTATTCTATTTTCGTTCATTTATATGTTTCGGAGTTTAGTGTGACGTCTATTTTCACCGAACTAGTACATATTTGTGTCTATGGCCCAGTTGAAGCCCGCCTCCGGGTGCGGGATTTTCTCACTGTGTTGAAGATCATTTGGTGGACTTGGGCTGTTTCCAGCTCTTTTGATGGGTTGTTCTCTTGACACATCTCCTATTTCTATTTTTTCAGGTTTGTTTTCTATCGATGATTCCGTATTCTGACAAATAAACTTTACGTTTTTTTATTCTATCGTCATTCATCTTTATGTTTATCTCTTAGGGTGGAAAACAGCATAACTTCATACTTTATAATTTCAACTTCAGAGAACAACCTACAAAGACAATGTATAGATATCTGTACGCATGCAGAACTTGTAGGTAAGTGTGAGCATGATAAGATAAATACGTGTATTAAGAAGATGAATCCAAACCTGTGTAAATGATCATTTTTATAATTGTAAATTTGGAAATTATTTTAGATTAAGGATATATCTACTTTATTGGAGGCTCTGATTCCTTGACTGGCTTTGGCAATACTTTTAATATACTTTTTGGTTTAAAAAGCTCTACGTTTTTGAATTTTTAGAGTCTCAAATAGTTTAGCCTCGATTTTCTTAACAAACATGTATTGACAAAATGTGCATCTGGTGAAATTGAATTGGTTCCGTTAATCTAATACTAAATAATAAATAATATAACATAAACTGAATAAAATTACTTTTATTTGTGGCAAACAATATTCTTGGTTTCATCAAAAGCTACATGTTCGTGAATTCTTGGATATTAGTTTTCCGAAAAAAAAAAATGTGAAGAATGTTACCCATCAGAAACGGTGAGGAAAATCGGATGTTGTTTTGTAATGATTCGTGGTACATTGAATATAAGGTCTTCATTTTCACTTGCTTGATCGTTTTAATTACTGACAATATTTATCAGATTTTGAATAAAACAATTGCTCTCAGAAATGAGCTAATTCGTCTATGCTTACAAATGGTCTCGTTTGAAGGTAATTGCAAAGTAAAGTTAACGTTTCACATATGTAATCAGAAGTGGGGACACTTTTTATCCCAAAATCAAATGGTCAATAGATTAACAATCATACAGGTTTTAAATAGGCCATTAACATGTCACCTAAAGAAAACAGTTACATAAAAATGATACAAATGTACTTTGAATTGTATAATTAATTCTTATGAAACAAAAAAAAAAAAAAACAAAAAAAGAAAAAACAATTCCAATATGAAATTAATAAAAAAAAAATGTATGTGAAGTTATGCGAAAAATAAAATTAACAATTCATCATCGCAAATCACAGCAGGAAGTGTGACTTTAAACGATCAAAACTAATTTGCAATGAGAGAGTTAAAAGGCTAAATGTCGTGACTTTAAGGTTTTTAAAGATTACGTAGGTAAAGTTCTGTCTAAAGTTGTATAAATAGTTCATAGTGCATTTGTTGATGTTCGATTTTTTCACTTTATTAAATTTCCTTTTCCATGTATTCAAATCTACATTGGGATAATGTCCATGTCTTGATTTAGAGAACGGTACATGTTTAAGTAACAGTCTTATCTGAAGTGCATACATTTTATGTAATCAATGTTTCGGTTTAAATAATTCTCCCGCTAGAAACTTTGTTTGATGTTGTGTGTTTTGCTTTTTTTTTCAGAACAGAAATAGTTTCTGAGTAAGTATGAATACGGTTCTACCTTCAACCTAAAATGTGATAAAACTCCTAAAATGAAGCTGTCGAAACTAGCATGCATTTCACAATGTCCACAAATTTGCTATTATTTTTGTTTTTCTTTTGTTTGTATCTGAAAAAAAAAAAACTTAATGAAATTGAATTAATATATAAAACAGAACTGTGATCGTTTTTTTTTAAATTGTTTCACATTTTTTCATATCCGGGCGTTTTATAGCTAATCATAAGGTATGGGTTTTGTGTATTGTTAAAGACTGTACGATGAACTCGTATTAACTAAAAATGAGTCATTAGTTTCAAAGTATACTATTGGAAATCATTCCTCATTTGGTTACGTTTGTATTAATTTGACTGTTTTATACTTCGAGTATCAATCATTATCACTTTAATGAGATCGATGGTTATAAGTATCATATATAAAATTTAATATTTCACAATCTCATGCTTATTGAGCATTATTATCATAGTGAGGTATGCGGTCGTAGAATTAAAAAGGAAATTTTTATAGGGATTTATTGAAGGTATACAGTTTTAAATGGTTCAATCATTAAATATACTATACAATTTGATAAAATCAAAACCGTCCATTAATATATATTTGATTTTAAGAAAACGTGTTTATTATCTATTATCTTAAGATTATTAGATACTCCGGAACAGCCTATGGTGACAAAAAGCTATAACTTAAAAAGTAAAATGGAAAAAAGTTGTATCAAATTCCATAAATATATTATGCAATTTACAACAATTGGTATTTGGTATTGGGTATTTGACCTAGTTTGTATTATAATGTTTACCAGCGTTTTGAATTATGGATAAGATGCATGACATTAAAAAAGTGTTTACTTTTTCATTTGGTAGTTACACTGTACAACACATGATTTTGTTTAATAAAGTTCGAACATTTTGTGAATCCATGTGTTAAGTATTGCGTTTCAAAATCTATTTACCTGCCTTAAAACGCCATCACGAGTTGGTTGACCGTTACAAAAAAAGAGAAAAAAAAAACATTAAGTTATTCATTATTTGTAAAACGTGTACAGTAAAACCAATATGCTTAGCCTTTGTCTAACTGTCATGGATCATTGATAATGTTAGTTTCTGTAATAAAATTTTATAAAATTTCTACAGCTATCAATCTTTCATTCCTCGTCAGTCAAGCAGGTGGGACATGTCAGTGTGTGTGTCACGTTTGTTATATATATTTATTCATTAACGTGAATTAGTTATTTGATTATTTGGATATATTTTATCTTTTCATATTTTATTTGTAAATATTGTACAGTACTATTTATAATTTGTACTTTTTTAGTTATAAAAAAAAATGCCTCATTATACATTATGCATATTTTCTATTTTAGGAATTCTTTTATGTAAGTATAGCCATATTTGAAAACCTACAATGTTAATCATTTAATAAATTCTAAACATTCACACAGTAACACCAACCAACAATAATGAGCGAATAATTCTAGGATGCGTCAAAATTAAAAACCGAAAGCAAAAGAACAATATGTTATAGCGAAAATAATACTATTACCGAAAAAAATTAACAACCATATAAGAATTAACTTGAGAAAATGATAATGCAAACCTTCATATTAATGATATTGATTTATAATGTACTGAAGTTATTCGGACTATTTTAGGCTGTCTCATTCACATACGTTACTGTACACAGGCGAAAAATCAACGCAAGGCTTCATGCGTGTTACATGTTTTTGTATATATGTTTAACATGCGTGTCACACGCAAGTGTTTGAAGCTTTTTTTCAAGCCACGAATGTGACACATGTGTTTAAACGCATGTCATACACATGATAAGATAACATGTTAAGATATTTATTATCCTTCTATTGAGTATTGTCCATATCAATCGATAAAATTGTTACATCTCATAGATTTTAATCTACTTAATTTATTTTTACACATTCTGCAGGAAGGGAAAAAAATGGTCATAGAAGATTTTCTCTTTCTGACATGCAATTAAATTTTAAGTATCTATTAGATGCTAGTCTTTAATTCTGTCCCAACTGCACAGGATTGCCGGCACATTTTTTATGATGAAACTTAACTGATTTTACCCAAAACTCCTGTTGCAGTTAGTTCATAAGTTAAATAATGATCTTGAAAATTGTGGTCATTTTGTGACTATATTATTTCATTTATTTTCGTTAAATCATTGCTTTGTTTGTCCAGTAAATCATCATATAAATACTGTTGTTAATCTACATCTTCCTTGGTATGCCAATCCTTTTTTTCTGCGCGTCCCACATTGTTTGTTTTGAAATAAAAACTGATTTCGGACAGAAGATTCACTGATAGCGGCACGAAAACTATTTACCCAAAGTACATTATGATTTTCCAGTGAAATAGATCGACTTTTAAAAGTTAAACAGCGTACTGAATCAATAAAACGGGTTTGAAATACTATATACTGTGTAAGGTCTGTCCTGGTGAGGCATGTTTATTCGAATGAACATATAGATTCTACCACTGCATCGAGTGTGATACGATATTTATCCACTCGAGACAGTTTAATTTTCAAATTTAAAACGCGAGGCTCGCCGAGCGTTTTAAATATTTAAAATTTAACTGCCGAGAGTGGATAAATATCATATTACACGAGATTTGGTGGTGGAATCTGTTTCTCTAATGATTTTCAAACAATACGCAGGCAAATTTATTCCTTCTTTTCGAATGATCTGCAAAAAGATGTGTTCTTTCTATGTGACGTCATCAGGCATGGTCGCCTTTTTTCATGCCGTCACAATAGGAAATTCAGAGGAAAGCAAGAAAATTCGACGTCATAATCGGATTTTAACCAATGAAGAACTGAGATCAAACGAACCACACGTTGATTAAATTTTTTTTATACAATGGGTGCAGAAAGGGATAAATTGACGAAGAATTAGAGAAAAACATATATAAACTTCTTCATTTGTATTGAAAGCTCTGGGCAGTAGGAATATCCCCATGTTTTCTTCCTTAAATTGTAAAGAAAAATTCATTATGGTGAGGACATCAGTGTGTTTTTTTTTATCCAATAATCCAATACACTTGTATAAGTTTAAATTGTTAATCGTCAATGAAGAATCATCAATAAAATATATAAGGGGATCCCGATAAAATGTTTAACCCCGCCACATTCTGTATGTATGTGCCTATCCCAAGTCAGGAGCCTGTAATTCAGTGGTTATCGTTTGTTGCTGTGTTATTCATTTGTTTTTCGTTCATTTTTTGTACATTAATTAGGCCGATATTTTTCTCGTTTGAATTGTTTTACATTTGTCATTCTCGGGTCTTTTTAGTTGACTATGCGGTATGGGCTTTGATCATTGTTGAAGGTCGTACGGTGACCTATAGTTGTTAATTTCTGTGTCATTTTGGTCTATTGTGAAGAATTGTCTCATTGGCAATCACATCACTTCTTCATTTTTATATATCATCTTGACAAATGATCTGTGAATATTATACTACTGTACTGTTCGTGTATTAGACTACAGATTCAAGAGGCGTATTAAGGTGAAGATACAGGTCCAAGGACTCCCTTTTTGAGCTACAAAAATGATAAATGCATGAACACATTTCAAATGACAATTACGTGAAAATAGTTATTTTTCAAATAAGCTATCATCTTCAAAGTCCTGAGGATATGATACTTGTACAAGTATGACAAGGAATTACAAAAAGTTTAAGTTTATTATTAATTTTGTATTATCGTAGACACCGTATATATTTTCTCATGTGCAATTCACGTGAAAATGTTCACATGTATTATAATAAGTAAGCATAAACACATGAGACGCATGCAAGTAGCACATGTGTCACATTTGTTTTCGAGTACATGCGATTTTCATGCAAACATGGCATGTGTCACATGTGTTTTCAAACAAATGCATGGAATCTTTTTTTTTTATTCTTTTCTGACACTTGCGATTTACATTCATGTGCATTTCACAATGATATTCATGTAAAAATTAAATTGAAATTAAAATCAAGTTATGTAGGCTAACACACATGGGGAAAATGCAAATAATGCATGGGTCACATATACTTTTAGATACATGCGTTTCACATGTGTAGATCGCATGGGTCATATGTGTTTTCACACACATGCGTGGCACATAGGTATTTTCAGGCACGTGCGATAAACATGTATATTGGTATACATGGTATACGTGCCTGGCAGGAAACGTGGTGTCTCACATTCGTTTCATGGTGCATGCGTGACACATGTGTGGCATTTTTACCCTAGTATCGTCATAAACATTTAATAATTTATATCTTTGAATAATACTATGCATATTTTTATTTTTTATCTACTTATCGCGTTTATTTTGATATTTATTTAGATTTATATCCAACTCAATTTTCAAAAACTAACGGTTTCCTTATACAGTGTTCAAATATGTTGCCATACTATTATTTTTATTTTTATTTTCTTATTTGTTTTTATAAATATATCAAAAATGCTTTTTTCTAAGTTTTCATTCTGTGTTTTCTTTTCAGGAGTTCTTATGGGTAAGTATCATCATTTTCATATTCTTAAATTATCTTCGTATTGTATATAGTTTAACAGCCATTAGCAATTTTCAGTAAGTATTTCTTTTATGCGTAAAATGAAAGCCTCAACATTTGAAAATGTTATTTTCGCGTATAGCAAATTTGTATATATGCATAATATTTATATCACGTCAAATGCTACGAAAGAAGTTGTAAGGACAGGTTGAAATAAAAAAAAAAAATCAGGTTTAACACTCTAGAGAAAATGGTATGGTTCAAATGAATTGGATGTAAGCAGGCAACCGTACGGCCTTCATCAATGAGAAAAAACTTGTATCATTATAGTCGGCTATAAAATATTATGTTTACGTCTGATGATTTGCCAGTCGTTGTCGTTAGTTTAAACAGTATTTTTATTGAAATTTTCAAACAATAAAGTAGTACAATTCTACAGAGCAGTCAAATATGGGACCCAGAAACAAGTTTTGAATTTTTTTTTTATTATCCTGTCTCCCGAAATAACGATTATTTTACAAACAATATGACGTGCCAAAAATACGTTCAGTTTAAGACAACATACAATAAATTTTGGTAAATACAGCTAAAAAAAAACAGCAAAAAAACAACGAACAATAAACAGCAAAACAGTAAACTGTTAAATTGTTGATAGAGAGTCACTGGAACCTTATCACATGTTCGATTATTGTCGATTTAGAGCGGTCCACTCGATTTGACATCAATGGATATAACTATCGGATATATATCAAATGCATTTTGTTAAAATATAAGTTTATTGTTTTCTGTTTGGTATTAGATTAAAAGTTAAGATCCATTTTGTTACATCTGGTGATCTGTTTATTTTGCAATCACCAATGGCAGTCAGCAGGGTTTAAGAACATGTGTTGTTCGACCTGTTAGTCAAATGCGTTTTGTTAAAATATACTTTTTCACTGTTTTGGTCTTTTGGAAAATGTTGTTTGTGCTGTATTTAGACCCCTCTACCAAGAAATTTGTTTTGCATGCACACGTATAAAAACAATTGCGGATTTTATCCAACGCAATCATAGGTTTGAAGGTTGTTTTCACTTTAGACTGGTTTATATATATATATATATTTATCTATACAAGGTCATATTGTTTTATTTATAAATTCAGTATCTTTATGAAATATTTGCTTCCTGTGCTCTTCAGACTTTAAAATGTCCCCGTATTATATATTTTTAAGGTTATACGTCAAAATTTGGCGTCAATCGGTTTGAAAGTGAATCAGCCGTGTTTGTGACCTCATTTTAACGAATCTTAACCACTTAATTTCTACATTTCAATTATTTCGAAAGATCGTAATATTCAAATTGATTGATTATTTTTAATGTTATCTGAATTTCAACGGCTATTATTTTAATCATAATCATTACATACCGCTGCGATCCTAAATTGCCAATATAAATGTAAAAAGGTTTCGTGACCACAATTAAGGCTTCATATAAAACCGGGCTTTCAATTATATAATATGATCAATATGCACATATACTTTAAACTCAGAGTAATTTAGTTGAGGACATGATGCACAAACTGCTGATCAGGAGTGTTTGTGTGGTGTGTTTTTTTATCTATTTATAATGCTTATTTATTAATTCATTTCGAATAATGTTCAACCCAATATTTACCATTTTGAAGTTAAACTTATGACACAATAATATCATGTATACATATTTCACAGTATATTTGTAAATTGAACTTTTATACATGCAGAGTTTTTTTTTCTTATTATCCATGATCTTCTATTTCAGGGATTATTACGGGTAAATATCACCATTTAGAGATAATATAATTTGTAACGGTCAATGATTTTAATATGTACGCCAAAAAGAATACAGCAACACCAAAATAAAAAAGGAAAAAGTAAATACAAAATTTATATTTTGGATAACATATACCCTTCATCAAATGATTATAATCAATCTATGCTGCTTTGCAAATACAAAAATGAACGTATTACAAATAAAAAATTGAACCACGACAGTAGAAGTATAAATTTGCAAAGTTCAAGCAAGTATTTACAGCCGTTACGGAGGATACGAACATGTATGCAGCAAAAGGAAATTTCCACATCCAGCAGCAATGGTTACTGCCATGAGAGATGACAAACATTTTTTTTATTTATCCGAATATTGGTGTCAAAGGTTGCGATTTTCGTATTCAAAATATAACCCGAACGATTCCCTTTTTTCCCAGAACAAGCAGCGATGGCAATATTCAGTGAAAAATGAAATATGCTTAAGTGTGGTAATGGGATCTCAAATGTCCATTCAGAGAAAGGAATTGCTTGCATTCATAGTCACTATGATGGCCGTGCATTTGTTTGTGACACGACTGTTCTGACTCACCAACATACTGTTTACCACATTTTCACTGTAGAAGATACACAGAATGTCGTTTTGCAATTATCATTCAAAATATGGTTTATGGTTATCAATGAAAAGACCGTTAAAAATCTGGGTATGCAGTATTTACTAGCAATACATACATCGTTTTTTCAACAACACTTGTAAGAACTAGCAGAAAAAAGCTTGGTATATAGGTTAACTCAGATCCACCAGTACGGATTGTTTAAGGGAAATCTTGGAAAGTTTAGAATGATTCTCGAGTCCTTTCCAAAATTACCGGAAAGGGTTGACAATTTTGAAAATAAAGGATGATAAGTCAGCACAAACAGGACACTTTTGTTGACCTTTGTTTCTTCATATTGTACATGCTCAAAGCGGCTGAAGCTTTTAGCACGAAAAAAACCTCTATCCATGCCTCTTAAATCCTGGTTTAATAGGTGTCCGCGAAGACCTTGTAATCGCTTTGTCCTAGTGATTAAGGTAGACGTCAATTTTTTGAGCGAAAATCCAATCTATAAAATTATCATATCATCAGCCTAGTATCACTATATTGTATTTATGGGTAATCATAATGTACATAATAAGTATAGTACCTACAAAGAAAATAGAAATTTCATTGAAAAAGTATTTGGAAAATTTGAAGTTCATTCTCTGTAGAAAGAAAAAAAGTATATTTTATTTCACCATATTATTTTTTTTGTTTTATTCAAAACATTCAAATTAAGATTTTTAGCACATTAATCAAATAAGTAATTAACTTTTTCGATGAATCTTATCAATTTAAAATGATAAACATGTTACTGTTATAGGTCAATTAAGAAATAATTCATGGAAGCCATAGATTTGTTGGACATTTACACATGGCCTGGGCCGTGATATTCGAATTTTATCCTGAGCGTTAGCGAGTGATAAAATTAACGAATATCACGGCCCAGGCCATGTGTAAATGTCCAATAAATCTATGGCTTCCATGAATTATTTCGATTCTAATAGGACAAATACGGTAATTTAAAAACTGATGCGAACGTAAGATTACCGTGTGTATGGCTGTTCTATTTTACCCCCTATATAAATCTTAGTCTTACATGAATTATTTCTCAAATAAGCAATAGAAAAAATGTGTTCGATTCTCATTATTCTTAACCCAAACATTTATTTTTCTTTGGCTACTATTTACTGTCAAATCCAGATCCACTTTACATTGACAAACAGTGCCGATAATATCACACAGATTGGTCCAATCAAAATTGATATAGCCATATATTAAAAAAAGTTGAGAGATACAAAAAAAAACGTATTATTTCAGTGGCAAATCATGAATATGATTGTCTTTATGTTTCAAGCATAAATGATTCATATGAATGAAGTAAGACACTTAATTAAACTGTTTTACGTTATTTCAGCGACTGTGCACACTGTGGGTAAGTGTTATTTTTTACGTTTGTGTTTATTAACATTTGATTGATTTTTTTGGTTTCATTCTGTTCATTATGTTCAACCTATTATATATCTTAAGCAATGTCTCTGAATGGTACGGTTTAAATAAGTTTCTTTTCCGAAATGTTAAAGTGATATATGTTATAGTCCATTCAAAAGCTAACTTAACAAATGCTGCCGGTATATCATTTCTCGTTTTTAACATCAAAAGTATGGATATTTTAACAACATTACGCATCAAATTGCATATATTCATGTTCTGTTAAGGTAACATATCACAAAATGAAGGGACATTCAAAACTCATTGGCCGAAAAAAACACCGTGAACACCATGCCAAAAAACAAAAAAAATGACGCAAAGAAAAACAACTCTACAAATCACTTAATAAAAAGACTAAAGAGTGAGGCACTAGAACCGCACCAACAACCGGATATGATTTCATGTGGAATGGAATGAAAAGCAATTTCTGTTCTACATGTGGCAAGGTTGGATTGCTCTTGGAAGAACACATCTGATGATTATTTCCAATTGCAACCACAGAAAAGAGATCGAAATTGAAATATCGTCAATTGGAACATATCCGTTGTTATCTGTGACATCGATATTCCATAACGTTCAACCACCTCGAGATGACGTCCGTAAAACTTTAAAAGAGATGACTTCAGTGTCAAGACTTAGAACCCTTGATTCAATATTTGCCATGTAAGCAGCGGACCTATATAACGGAACCCATGATAGGAATCGCAAGCTCTGTATTATCTTATCAGCTAGAATATATATATGGCTTATGTTGGCACTGCTTGAATTAGCCTTATAAAAAATGGAAGTTCACAATTGAGAAGCTCATTACAATACATTGATGCCGCATACTTCAGATTCTAATCTTATCATGTACAGGACATTTATCTTGATAGTGATATGAAAACTAATGTGTCACCACAGCAAAATATGCGGATATGACCTTTCTTGATTTTAAAAAGAAATTCAAACATGCGACACTGTAATAAATATTAATTACTGTTTAATAATCATTATACATTACTACCAAAGATCAGTGTAGCAACAGTGTCTCTATCGCGTACGGAAATGTACTTATGATTACGATCCGTTTAAACAATAATAATTTCAAGCAAGTCACACTTTTGCTGTCTAGTTTACTTTTCACTGCTATATATAGATATTTATTTATAGCACGCAATAGTTAATTTAGATGTTACAGGAATCTTCAACAGACCCGGTATTCATATTGGTTTTAAAACAAAAAATGTAATAGTGCTTAAGTACATTTGTATTACCACGTTTTCTTCGCGAAATTTGATTTTAGCATTCAGCTTCACATTTTAAACAATAGCAAATGAAGAAAAAGACATGCTCCTGTAACTGTAACTGTAAAGCAAGAATGAGCCTTACATACCTTCTATTTCCTTTGAATATTAGAATTCAAGATTTCTGGCATAAACTACAAGACAAGCTGATTTTCAAAATTATAAATAACATTATCATCAAATATTATCAATTTATGTATGTAAATAATTTCACATACTTTGCAATCAGAGAAATACCTTTATTAACCTTTGTTTTAGATGTTTATGCTGGTTTTGTGAGTTCCTTGTTGAGAAATAGCACACACAAGATGGACCGGACCTACTTGAAATTATTTAAGGAATAACACTACAGCTTTATATCTTAATAGTAGAAGGATTGTGCATTAAATAAATATAAAACTTATAATGAAATTGAAAGCACCAATAGGGTAAAACAAAATATTCAGAGAGTGCTCAACATATTATTCAATGGACAACAAGCAAGCAAGGCAGCAAACCCCATTTCGGTTAATGATTTGACAGAAGTAAGTTTACATGGTTTAGTGTTAAACAAAACTAAAAGAAAATTTCATTGATTCGTTAAAATTTTTTTAGAAAAACAGTAACAAATCCTAAAAAAAAGCATGGTTACATTGCCTAGTTTTTTTCCAGATTTTTCATGTTTGTGCATGATTAAAAAAAAAAACATGACTAACACAGCGAAAAACTCTCTTTTTTACCTTTAAACAGTTCAGTACGTTATGGGGTCATTACAATTTTATTAAAAGCTAGTTTGATTAGAATTCTACAAAACCGTCATATTCCAGCAGCACTATGACCTAAAGGTTCTTAACCTGTTATATATTCTTGCTATAAATGTAAAAGATATTACATTGTAAATTTGATGTTATATGTAATTAAAATGTTAATAATTTACTCTTATAGAAGTTGTAATACTTTATGTAGTTGAACCTAACATTTCATATTTTGTGAATATATCATTAACCGTAATAAACAAAATAGGAGTACACGTAGATCTTGAATGCATGTTATATATGAAAAAAAGGTAATAATATATTGAATATTTAATACAAAATATTACCTAACCGATAACAAGTAAGAAAAAGAAGGATGGTAGTCACAAATCGTATATTGAACACAGTAACAAAGAACAATGGTAAACACACAATTATTACCCAGATACCCAATAACAATCAGCTCCTGCGAAAAACGAAAAGAGAAATCAGGTAATCAGAAAGTTTATGCAGCCGCAGCTGCTAAGGTGTCATTAATCGTCTTGCTAATGACAAATTATTTAAGAGAATTGTAGTCAATCCTAGCGGGGAATATAGTAATGAGAGAGAACAAAATCATTATCTTAGCATATGTCATGAATTTGGTAAATTTCCTCAATTTTTTTTCTCGGCTTTTATTGCTGGAAATTGTACCAGAAATTTACAATCACCATGGCAATATTCCTTGTTCTTGCATTCATCAATCTATCATAAATGTGTACTGAGACGGCCATGATAATTTCGTTCTTTTACGTTAGGGATTCGACGACATTTCGTTTATTCACGCCCATAGCCATGTGATCTGTCAAATAACCCCTATGTCTAGATGAGAGTTGCAATATAAAATTACTTTAGAACATCCTTAAGTCGCTTTTCCGACTATTGTGTGTATGTGATATCGGGTATGGCTGCCGCTTAGATAAGTCACTATTTCAAGCATGGTAATAAATGATAAAATCCGCAAATTAAAAAAAAATATTTCTGATCCACAAAAATAAAATGCTGATTAAACCCCAAACATCTGAACTAATCAATATTGATATTTTTCATAAAACCGATTTGAACATACGTCATAAATGCACTAAATATATGTCAAATTTATTTAACTCTGAATAGCATAATAATGTTTGCTATTGGTATATTTTTTTAAAACAAAAAAATGTACGAAAGGTTCTGAATTTTCAAAATACGTTACAAAAATGGCGAGCCAGATGTCTCAGTTGCTCACCCGTACAACAAAAGGGTGGAAACGGTCCTGAGTACGATACAGCCTCCAAGTGTTCACTCGTTCAATCATCATCAGTACGTCTTGGTTAACTTCGTAAACCATTCGTTCTTTTTCAGTTCTAAATAATGAGGACGGACATATTCAAAACCACAGCTGTATGATTTTGTGTCGAGAAACTGGTTTGCCTTTTGGGAAAATAATAATCCGAATGTGCCTTACTGTGTTCTGAATTTTGTTAGTGACTTTGTGAATAGAATTTGAAATAAAGACAAATAAATCGTACATGAAAAACCACAATGAACTGAACACATCATTGTCAAAAGAAAACATCTCGAAAACAAAAACAAAAAAAAACAGTCAGCAAAAACAACAAAAAGGAGCAAAATGACATCACAATAAACCGGAACTGCTCTGGACAAACGTTAACAGTTACAGTTAATGACAACCGTTAAGATATACATATGGAAACCCGATAAAACCCCGATGATAAGACTTTTGACATTCACGGAATAGAATGTGTCACTTATCCAACCGTAAGATATAAAAAATGTATAAATATCAATACACGTTCTTTCTTTTACACCGATAATTGTGTATCTTTTTTTATTTAAAATAGTGCTACAACCTGAAACAACAATTACATCTTTTTTCCTGATTGCTAGTTTTTGAACTAGAATAATTAACATATTACTTTTTGTCCCGCCTCGAAACGATTAAGAGCTTTTTTTTTATTTGTTTACAACTTTTTATACTTGAAGATTGTATGTTGATCTGTAAATCACTTAACTTCTGTTTGTGTCGTTTTGTTACTGTCTTATTGTCTTATATTGTTGATATTTACTTATTCCTGCATTAAGCAATGTTAAACCTTTTAACTTGAAACGGTTCGTCAAATATAACAAATGGACGCCCAATTTTCCGCAAAACAAAATCATACCATTAAAATCTATATCTTTTTTTCTGTTTTAAATTCGTTATTCGATATTCGATATTCAATATCCAACCGGCTGCTAGCTGTCGGTTCGATATCTTTTTTTTTGTAGTTGAAAGTAATGAAAATTTAAACCTTCGAAAGTTATAGTTAAAATGAGTAAAAAGAGATGTAGGAAATCTTTTTTGTGACCAATCCAAGTTATCGTAAATCCTCGTTGTTCCCAAATATAAACCCTTCTGTGAATCGATTATTTCTTTTCATGAAATACAATCAAAGATGTATATTTGAAAAATACTTTTTCAAGAAACAAAAAGAAACGGCCCTTTTACCTGAATTTAAGCTGAAAAGTGACAATCTCTCTTATTTTTGTTTTGGCTTTCCATAATTATTTATATTTTTATTCTTAACAAATGTTCCTAGAGTGATCGTTTGTTTTTGTTCCTAAACAAATATCAAGTATAAAAGTACATCTTTGATTGCATTTTATTGATAAAAATCTATATTTTATTAAGACAAATGTCCAATTTACATAAGAGTTTATATTGGAAATAATTTACGACAGCTTGAAGGGGTCATAAAACGATTTCCTAGATATCTTTTTACTCCTTTTACCTATGACTATCATGTTTTAAATGTTATCAAATATTTATATTTGTATTATTTTCAAATAAGAAATTTGAATATCGAACCGACTGCTAGCAGCCGGTTGGATATTGAATATTGAATAATCAATAACGAACCGACTGGTAACTTCACATCCATGTTTTAAAGGTACTGTACCACAAAACAAGCTAGAACAAACAAATGTCAGTTAAGTGGACATGATATCCCTACATAATCGGGTTTCATTTCGAATTTATATACATGTCTGTTTTTTCATGATTTTGATTTGTTTGAATATATTTATCGTTTACTGTACACAAGTGGGAAAGATAATAAATAGAAGTTTGTACATCATTTATCGATGAAAAACTGACATGGTCATTGCAAAGAAAAAAAACAGAAAAACATCTAAAAACAAACAAGTGTCTACAAAATTCTACTTTTTAAATAAAGACTAAGCAAATAAGAACCACAACTAGCCGGACTTGATATCAGCTGCTTCAGGAGAATAGGCATATATCCTGCTTTAGCTATGGTGCTTTTCGTATATCAGATGATTATATATTTGTTAACTGACACCACAAGATTTAAACTTCTGTTACAATGTTTACACAAAAGGACTGACCTGCATTTGATGTTGTCTAATGTTAATTCTAATAATAGATTGAAATGTTACAAAAAAGTAAAGGATGTACTTTGTTTTGTAACGGTATTGCATTTTAAGTTGTCTGAATGTGTCAAATACGGATGATAAACTCGAACATTTCTGTAAAAAAAAAGTCAATAGTTTAGAATACTTTCAATATATTTTATTTAAAATATTAATGAAAAAATGAATTAGAATCTCTTTAATAATACTATTCTTTATACAGGTTTAAACTAGTATATCGGGGCCTTTTTCAAGCTGAATATGCAATATGGGCTTTGCTCATTGTTGAAGTCCGTACGATAACATATTATTGTTAATTGCTGTATAATGTGGTCTCTTGTGGAGAGTTGTATCATTGGGAATCATGCCACATCTTCTTCATGTTCTTTGGATTTTTGGAAGGGTAAATCATAACTGAACTGGTAAACATAACTGAACAAAGTGTAAACCAAACACTCGGATGTCAAAACAATATAAAAAGTTTTAAAAAAACAACATTTTTTATTTAATACTTAAAAATAGACAAAGTCATTTCTACATCCAACAACTAAACAGTTATCATAAACAACAAAAGCGGAGAATATTTGTCCCGACAGCTTATGGATTAATATTATTTTCCCAGAACAGTTATTTAGTTTATTTCTTTGCTCAACTTCCAGCAAAATAAAAGACTTTTATTTTTACACGAAATATCATTCAGTTTGGAAAAATTTGAAAGAAAATTTAAATGGATCTTTTGTTTTAGTTTTGATTATTCATGACCTTGATGAAGAGAGTCCACAGAAAAAGTAAATGCTGAGGAATAAACAGCTGGCTCTACTTTCACTTTCCAAATAAGGTATCCTTCAAATAAAGACAATCATTGGACCCAACAAAAATCACAATATCAACAGCAATAGATGAAGAAAAACACTAAATCTTCAACTTTGAAATTCTATATCTGCAAACAAAAATAAAATTTGATAGAATGCATAAAATTCCTTCGAAGTAGAACAAAATATAACAGGAATTGAATCATCTGCTCATTTAGGTTGGTGTCTGTCTGTACCAAGTCATGAATATGACAGTTGTTATCCATTCGTTTGCTGTGTTTGAGCTTTGGATTTTGCCTTTTGATTATGGACTTTCCGTTTTGAATATTCCTCAGAGTTCGGTATTTTTGTTATTTTACTTTTTAAGATGAAGCATGAATCATACAAGTTCAGATTGCTATTGCCACATGTTTTGAGGATAATTTGCAACATGAACAGTCATTTGACTAATTTATCATCTTTCAGGTACATTCCATATCATAAGTAATTATATGCACTAGTTTGAGCTGATCTGTTTTAGTGTGTTCTTCAATCATAAATTAAAGTTAGGTCAGTTTGTTGTTAGGTGAACCTTTCATTCTGGATTAGCTATTGTAAATATAGTAACAAACTGGTCAAATATCGTTTTTAATCAACTTTTTTTACTTGTTCTATGAGATGACTGATAAGCAATACCTATGTTATTTTTTTTTATTGGAAGTAAACAAAGGTAACTGTAATTTGTTGTACAATAAGCAAACAAACAAACTGATCTTCATTGTTTTTGTACACACTCAAGTATTCACATTGATTGTTATCAAAATCAGCTAGTATGTTTTTTTTTTATGAATGCTTTTGTCATTCATGTTATGCTTATCAGTTTATTTGTGTGCTGTATATACTATTTCTCATTTGAAGAAATGAAAACCAATAAAGC